ACAAAATTTTTCTGAAAACATTAATCAAATTGTTGATTCTGAGATTAATGATCTTGCTACAATAATTAAAACTCTTTATTTTTCGGATTCTATGCAAGTTGAGGAGTTTCTATCTATCCTTGATAAAAATATTGCCTATGAAATTCCTGATGATGACTATGCCATTTCAGAGCTTATAGAAATTTTTAAGAAAAGTGATGATTTAGATGTTGTAGATGTAGATGAAATAGATAATAGCCTGGAGGTTCCTATGATTAGTGTCGATTCTACTCTTGAAGATTTAAAAACTGCTTATATGTATCTGTTACAGCAAGATAATACAAGCGAGCAATTAAAATTAGTAGATAAAATCAAAAAAATAATTAAAGAAAAAAAGTAAGTGCAATAAAGCAATCAAAAATTAATCAGTATTTTAAATAGGATATTAAAATTAGTATTAAAAAGAATGAAGATAAGGCATTTATTTATCATCAAAATTTACAAAATCGGATAAAAAAATAATACATTGATTTGTTATCATAAATCTGAGAAAAGCAGTTATCTATTTGAAGTATAATCTTGGATATTAATATCGAAAAAAAATTCACTTTAGAAAACTTAAAAAAAAAATTTTTTTTAAAAAAAAAAAAACAAAAAAAAAAAATAAAAAAAAAATAAAAAAAAAATCATACAAAAAAAACTTAAGTAAATTTTAGCTAAAAAAGTGGTTTGACGCTATAAAAATTTGTTTGAATAAACTATCCAAAGAACTTATCATATAGTGTTGAATATAGATTTTTTTTTTACAGTATTCATTAATAGGAAACAGAATTTGGACATATAATTTTGGAATAATATAGGCTTTTATAATTGGGTCAAAAGTTATTATTTTACAAGAATTAAAGAATATAATTCTTGTGTGATATACTGCTTTGTTCAAATTTTTTTGAAATAAAGTATTCAAAATTTTTCTATAAAAATAGAAAGTGGTATATTAGTGTACGTATATACATATGTCTTGCAAATCCTAACCAAATAACAATAAAAATGGTCAATATGTAAATAATTAAGATAGATAATTTGATTGGCCCATGGTCACGTAACGAATCTATAAAAATCTGTAAATGCACATCCTCTCTAAATGTATACTTTTGCCTGATCCCAAGAGCATGCACTTAGAGAAGTTTAACTGTAGTAAGAACTTATGCTTCTGGCTAATTGGCCTATAATCCTGTTGAATAAGCAATATGCATATTTTCTGAAAAGCTAGCCAGTATAACTTTAATAATAGATACTTTTAGTTCTTATCTAGATAGCTAGAGAAAAGTTATTAACTAAAAATTTGCAAAACAAAACTTCTGTTATGCTGGTGAAACTTTGTGTATACTCTAGAATCAAGATCTAATTTTAGAAAGAATATCATGACCCAGTATATTGGAGATAATATTTTACTATTTCATATAGATGATAATAAAGAAAAACTAATAATTTTTTAAAAATAGTTGAAAAGATATATAAGAATTTGTCAATACGGTCTTAATATTCAAAAATATGATGATCTGGCTTGTTACTATCCTAAACAGCATAAGGAGTTTGCTACTTTTCTTGCAGAAAATGATAGTTTTCTTTCATCTGTTACAAAAGACTAAAATAGATATTCTCTTAATCTAGTTTATATTTTACAATATATTAATATACTAAAATTATTAGCTTATAATATCTATTGTCAATCTATTTTATTTGAAATATATTATCACCTCTGCTACACTATATATAGCAAATATTTCTCTATGCACAAGATGGTTGCAAACTATAAAAAATATAAATATCCAAAACAAAAAAAATATACAAAAGGTAAACTTAGTTTGCTTTTTAACTCAATTAATGATTTTAGCTTAATTTTGACTTTAGCTATACAAGAAATTAATAATCATGACAGTGTTTTAAATAATGAATAAAATAGTTGATATCTGAAACCTATAATTTTGATATTATTTCTAGCTTTAGTATTGATAAAAACTATATTTATAGAAAAAATTGAAATGAATTTAAATTTCTGATAGCAAGATCTTTAGTACAAGTATAAAGAAGACTATATAGCAAGAAGCTGTATAGTTTTATAGTTTTTTACTGAAACTTGCAAATTTGCAACTTTGATACTACTTGTAATTAGCTATAAAGTAGCTATAAAGTAACTATATAG